CTATTAGTACCGTAACTTGAGTTCATTACGCATTTACGCAAATCGTACAAACGACACCTAGGTATTAGGTAATTGACGCAAACAGTAGTCGGTATTAGGTAATTGACGCAAATAGTAATCAGCAAATGACAGACAGACACAAAGTAGTAGTACGCAATTGACGCAAACAGTAGACAATAGACGCAACTCGACAAAATTCTTCAATTCTTTTTTTATCATACAAAGTCACAAATTCTTCAACTCTCTTAACAGGTAATTAAAATTACTAAATATCTCACAATTCTTGTTTATTATTTTATTTACGTGACTTAATAATTCTGATTTTAGAATAATATATTCAAGAATTTATTTCTTGATTAATTATTAATTTATTCATAGAAGTTTCTAAATAGATTCTTATTTTTTTCTTAGAATTTTATAATTATTTTTTCAAGAAAATATTCATCTGGGTTTGAGAAGCATAAAAAGAAAAGAAGAACTGAGCAACTAACTCAATCTCAAAAGGGAGCTTTTGAAAAATTCATTACAAAAGAAACTCAAATAGATGTGCAAAAAAGATGATATCAAATAAAAATTGTTAGGTTCTAATTTTCATATAGAAAATCAAGATGATTGTGAGATTGAAAAAAATTTAAATGATACTGTGCACAATGATGATAGGTATATATCACTGTGGCAATGAGAATAATAAGAATGTTGATTGTTTAGATGATGTTGGTCACAATATAGTGATAAATCAAATGATTCGCTTTTATTTGACATATATGATCCAAGAAATTGGGATGCACTTGATTCTAAATTAATAGATATTCTTGTAAAAGGTGATCATAAAATAGATTTATCATCAATAAATAAATGTCCTAAAGATAAATTCTCTAGAACAATTTTTAAAGTTAAAATTGTTGAAATCTTACTTACGATCAAGTATGTTGCAAGAGAGACTTAATGGATTAGTTTTAATCTCTACTAGTAGTTGCACCCGTGTGATGCACGGCTATATATATATACTGTGTATTATATTAAGTATAATATTGAAAGGCTATAATTAACCATTACACAAAAAAAATTGAAAGGTTATCAATTAATTACACATCACATAATTAATTTGAATATTTGTGAACATAAATTTATAATTGGTAATCATAAGGCAAAAATTATAAGAAAATTTTTGTAGTGGACCATTGAAGACAAAGTTGTGTGGACAATGAGTAACATTATCATAAAAAATAAAATATCGTATTTAAAAATGTTTTCACTTTTTGGTACACATAACGCCCTTATAATTTTAGTAATGTACAACCTAATCATGTAATTAGTGTCACTAAGGTCAACATTAAAAGGCAAACATGGTGGACCATGGACCAAAAAGTGTTGTATACCTTGGACCACAATTTAGTGTGAACCACGGATAAAATTATAATTAAATATTATATATCATAAATATCTATTTTATAAATTAAATACACATAACATAATTCATTTTAATATTTTAGAACATAGATTTGTAATTGGTATAAAACAGCATAACCTTATAAAATAAATTGCTGAACATTATAATATTTAATTAAAAAAAATAATATATATATATATATATATATATATATATATATATATATATATGTTATTTATTTATATATTTATATATTGTTTATCTCCTTCGATTTAATACATAAGAGATAAGAGATGAGGAGGAAGCGTTGACAGCCTTCTTATCTCTCTGTCCGAACAGATCTGAGAACTTGAAGCTCTCTTCAATACTGTCACAATCTCTCTCTCAAGCCTCTACCTACATCATTCTACTATCATTCTTTTGCCTTCATCTCTTAACCGCCAAACAATTTTTAGATTTATTACAAATCGCGTCTAGATCGCGATACTCCATCTATGCCTAGATCGTCTGAAATCTGTCATTTCTGGCCACGATATGTGCTTTCAAGCTCGTTTTGAGCTTGAAATCTGGATGTATTGAAGCTACTGATCTCATTCAAGGTTAGAATCAAACTTTTATTTTCTAAATTTCAATTAGGGTTTTTTCGTTTTTACTGTTTCATTTACAAAATCTTATATTCTAGTCGACTTGATGTTGTTAGTTTCTTAATAGTATGCATGCACATCGATCTTGTTTAATAAACTTATATGCTTTTTGGAAATTTAATTCCAGAATTGTATGATTCATATAAGCTATGGTTATATGTTGATTTCGTTTTACTGTTAATCTATAGAACTATGACTATTTTGTATGTATAATGTTAGAATTTCGTTTTGTAAAAGATGTAATTGTACTATTAAACAAACAATTTTGTTAATTGGTTCAATTTGTTTGTCATGTAAATTGAGAGGACAATACTTTGGAGCACTGAGAGGCAATGTGTAGCAGATACAAAATAGCTTAGCAGACTGTTGAATTCATTGAAGCATGATTTGCAACTTTCAAAAAGATAAGTTTCGAAAATACCTTTGTTTTCTTCATGTGGTTTCCTTTTGATGCCTAGAATAGTTGACTTTGTAATCTGCCTCATTTGCTTGTCTATTCTTTCTTGCTGAAACAGAAGTTTTTAATATAATGTTTTGTCTGAGCTATGATATTGACTGACTGTTTTTCGGATTAAAGAATTGAAAAAAAATAGTTGGAAGTACATGTGTTCATTTTTTTGTATTTAACTGTTTTGATTTTTTGAGATCCGCACTGGAAATGAAGGGTTTTTTATTCTATGTAATGATAGCTGCCATCACTTGTATTTAATATCCAAATCATTGTATTTTTCAATAACAATGAGTAACTGTTAGTTTCACACACTGTAATTTGTTGTATTAATTAGTTCGTTTTAACTAGCTAGCAAAACAGTTTGTTCCAGTTATTAACAGAAGCTATAATGTGTTTGTTCCACTTGTTTATATAGGGCAAAAAATGATGACTTTGAGGCATTGGAGAGCAGACCATAATCCCAAAGCGAGCATGTAGACGACAAAGAATGCATCTCTTTCATCTGAGAGATTAGGTTACCATTTTAAACTTGATTTTGTGTATTTTCCATAGTTTTTATGCCTCTAATGGTATATATTTTGTAATTTTGGTCATTGCACTCATTAAAGCAATAGTTAGACAAACTTTCAATTAATTTTACCTTTGTCTTTGTTTTAGATTATACAAAATCTGTGTTGTTTTTGTATTTTGGAATAAAAAATATACTTATTTTCAAGTACTTTAGTCAATAGAGTTTTTATAATTTTCTGCCTTTAATTGAGGAGATTTCCAGCATTTTTTTTTATTCACTTTATAAAACTGTGCTAAGCAATTATAAGTAGTTGGTTTGGAATGCAAGGTTTTATACTGGGTATATATATTTCATCAATATAAAGATTTCCTTTGCATTGGTAGAAAAATTAAACTCTTATGCTTAATAGGTTTTTTTTCAAGATTATTCTATAGTTAATAACTAATGTTATAAAGTTAATGTTACAAATCTCCTAAAACCTGGTTGCTTTTTACTGAAATATAGTTTTACTATAATTTATATTACTTTAAGTTAAGAATTTGTTTTTATACTTAAGTATTTGGACTTATTAGACTTCGTTTTGATTTTTTGATCGACAACTTGAACTTTCAATGTTGCATAGATTGTTACATGCTGGAGCGTTAAGTAAGCCTTATGAAGTAAGGCTGAATATAGTGCTTTAGATAGATATATTTCCAAATACTGAAGTAAGGAATAATGAGTTTTAATACTTATATAAAACTATGGGCTTTTATATTTGCACAGGAAAGCCATCAGGGAAAGTATTTGCAGTGGAGAGACAACTTTTGTGAGGTTTAGCAGATCGGTAAGGTATAATTACTAACTTTATAAATCTAAATTCTAAGTGATATAGTTGAAATTTTAGTCCTATATGTCTTGCATGAACTTAAATGTATTGCTTTCATGGTTAAGTAAAAATAGTAGTAACAGTTACTCAGGAGATGTGTTATTTTGGCAATTTTTTGTTGAAATGTTTGTATTTCTTTCATGTTACAGAATAGTAGAAGTCAATACTTTACTAAATTAAAAGGCATATGTATTCTAATCTGCGTATTTGCCAATACATGAATGATTGATTCTAATATGCCTATTTGTCAAAAAAACATGTAATGTGTGTTAGTTAATTGCCTATTTGCATTTTATACTAACTTTTTTTTTTATTCCAGAAAATTGGCATGTGATGAAAAAAGAATCTAATGCCCATAGTTTACTGAAATAATAATCCTCAGTAAAATTATTGTGGCATGTGATTAAAGTTTAATCTGATGCCCACACTTGTGTAGTTCCATAACCTATCTGTTAGTAACATATGATGTCAATACTTTACTAAATTAATCGAATGATTTATTCTAATCTGCCTATTTGCGTAAAAAGCATGCAGTGTTACAGAATAGTATAAGTATACTACATAACCTATTACAGTTTACAAAATACAGTTCAGTGATTGACAAAACTTGTCCCAGATCCCTTCTTTCTAATGACTTGTGACTTGATCATTCTTGTTTGTAACCCACCTGAAGTAAAAAAAAAAAAAAAAAAAAAAAAGTAAGAAAAGAGGGAGTTTAGGTGATTGATTTGTTCCACAATGTAATTCTTCTTTAACACTGTTAGTAGTTTCATGTTACAAATACTTAGAAGTAGTTAGGTTTTAGGGTCTTACACTTTGTTCCGGTGCTTGTCACCTTGGTTTTCCCTGGTCAAACTTTTTTGGAAAATCACCTGAAATGAAACTGAAGAAAACTGCAAGACAGGTTCTAATACCATAGGTCAATTTAACATTTAACATTATCATAATACAGTTATAAAAAAAAACATTTCAACCTTAGCAAACCAAAAAAAAACCAAAGCCGTTAAATTAGTAGGACAACCAATTAAAAATCCAACAGGCAAACATCACAAAAACATTGTTAAAAATTGTCTACATGCCAAAAACAGTAGCAAATGTATAGACCACAGTAACATGCATTTTCAGTAGCAGATCATTCAAGCAGTCTTCTCCTTCTTGATGTTGGATGGTGTTGCTTTCTTGCGACTTTTGGATGAGGAAAACTCATCCAAAAGTGACCTTTTGGTAGTTAAGGAGTTGACCGCAGTGTCATCCAGTTCATGTTGAGAGGGCTGCATAGAAGCAGGACTATTAACCTCTACTCCTATAGATGCTTCCTGTATATAAATAACACAATGGATTAGTCAGTTTTAGTAGTAGGTAATAAAAAAAATGAAAAACATAGTAAGAGGTTTAGTAAGAAATTCTTATTTCAGAATTTGCAGCACTGTTTGTTTCCTCCTCAAGCATCTTTGAGATTAAATCCTGCTCTTGGTGCTCGACAAACCTGTCACTATAGGTCTGGACCAAATGTTCGTCCCTTAACATCCTCAACACACTGAAAGGGGAATTATTACCCCGCTTTAGAGCCAGTTTTAACCCTACTTTAAACAAAATCTTCATTCCCACAATAGCATCCAACTCAGGGGGTACTTCAACATCAGCCTGCCATTTGAGTTTGCATTAGTACATTACAGTAGACCATCTACAACTAAACCATAAGTTAATTTGAGGGAAAATAATGTATCTCCTTGTATTTCTGATACAAAAGGCAAGCAGGGATTCCAACCAGCTCAGCAACTTCTCTGTCCCAAAGCAATAGTGGAGCATCTCCACTCTTGTCTAAAGCCATGATGACCACCTTATACCTGACTGTACCCTGAGTATATGGCTTATGACACTTAGTACACACAAGTGATCCTCCGTCTTCTTTTAGTTTCTTATTACAGCCGGCTGACATGCATGATACATAGTACCACCCATCATCAAGATCTAAACCCAAGATCTCAGCAGCAACATAGTATTCCCCATCCTATAGTGGGCATCAAATAAAAAAAATTAATGTATAGAACAAACATAGGAACTCAGATCTCAGATAAGTAAACATTGCGAGTAGTTTCTGTTTCTTACCACTTGTGTCTTCTTAAGGTCGTAGCAGGTAGTCACAATGAGTCCAGCACTTTTAAAGTCACTAATGCCCGCTAACTGTGAGTGCAGAGTACCCGTACTCAAACTTTTCATGGGAGTATTTTCAGATTTCATGCTTCATAAACAGGTTTAAACAAAAACAGTGGTTAGCAATTTGTATACTCTATTGGATTGGCAGAAAATTGGTATATGAACACATTTTATAGAAGTATGCCAATACTTGACCAAATGAATAGAATGATTGATTCTAATATGCCTTTTTGCCAAAAAAGCATGTAATGTGTGTTAGTTAATTGCCTATTTGCATTTTATACTAACTTTTTTTTCCAGAAAATTGACATGTGATGAAAATAAAATCTCATGCCCATCGTTTACTGAAATAATAATCCTCAGTAAAATTTTTGTGGCATGTGATTAAAGTTTAATCTGATGCCCACACTGGTGTAGTTCCATAACATGTCTGTTAGTAACATATGATGTCAATACTTTACTAAATTCAAAGGCAGATGTATTCTAATCTGCCTATTTGCCAATACATGAATGATTGATTCTAATATGCCTATTTGCCAAAAAAGTATGTAATGTGTGTTAGTTAATTGCCTATTTGCCTTTTATTCTAACTTTTTTTTTCCAGAAAATTGGCATGTGATGATAAAAAAAGTTTCATGCCCATACTTTACTGAAATAATGATCACAAGTAAAATTATTGTGGCATGTGATTAAAGTTAAATCTGATGCCCACACTTGTGTAGTTCCATAACATGTCTGTTAGTAACATATGATGTCAATACTTTACTAAATTCATTGAATGATTTATTCTAATCTGCCTATTTGCGTAAAAAGCATGCAATGTGTGTGAGTTAACTGTCTATTTGCCTTTTATACTAACTTTTTTTCCAGAAAATAGGCATGTGATGAAATTATAATCTGATGCCAATACTTTATTGAAAAAATAATCATAAGCTTATTTTTTTTTGGCATGTGATTAAATTTTAATTTGATGCCCATAACTGTGTATGTCCATAACACATCTGTTAGTAACTTATGATGACAATACTTCACTAAATGCACTTTAAATATCTTCTAAAGTGCCTAAGTTTTTAAATCTTACATAATGCTTAATACTTCCAAGAATTACAGAATTACATTATATAAGATGTGATGCAATATTTAACTTACTTACAGATAACATTACAGAATTACATTAGTGTACTTACTTCGACTTGAACTCTAGGAATTCCTCAAAATCCTCATTGAACCATAGCTTGGTAGCGTCATATGAGCTGGTGATTTGATGTTATCACATCTGTGCTTGTTTTTATAGTTATTTTGAATCATCTCAGTATTTAAGTTCTTTAATTTTGCTTATTTGATACATATTTTCCTTGCTATTATCATTTAATTATGGTTCACACTTGTTTGGAATGTTTTACGGTGTTTGTTAGTGTTTTTGAACCATTGTAGGTCAATTCTATGAGCAAGGGAAGTTCAAGGATGAGTTCGGAGCAATTTTGGACTAGTTCGGGTACCAGTAGGTTTGACGCGTCGAGCCTGTCAAAAATTTCCAGAATGTTTTGTGATCGAGACCCGCTGGTCTCGACGCGTCGAGACTTGGCTCGACGCGTCGAGCGAAAGATTGAAGTCGCGACATTATTACAAAAAGGGGCGTTGGCTTCAGCACTACACTTCAATTCTCAAATCCCAATTTCAACTTCAATTCTCAAATCCAAATTTAAACTTCAATTCTCAAATTCCAATTCCAACTTCAATTTAAATTAATTACGGCAAATTCTTTATTTAAAATATAGGAATTATAAGTTGAGTCCAATTTTGTACAAGATTCCTATTTCATCTCAACTTTGTACCCACTATAAAATCCCTCCTTCCTCAACCCTAATGGGAGCACGAAACCGAGAGATTTTTAGAGTTCTTTGTAGACAAGAAAGAGAGGAATCAAGAGGCTCAAGTTGTCTTTGGAAGCAAGGAGGAAGCCAAGGAGATTTGGGAGAATCGTTTGGTTAATTCTTGTTCTCTTTTGATGATTTGTAATCCTTTATTCATATTTGCTATGTGTAATTTAGCCATGCTCGGCTAAATTCTTTAAGGATTTTTGGGTGAATTTGTTTATAAACCTATGTGCCTAGTTCGTTAATTTCTTAATATATTTATGTTTGGTTTTATGATTTGTGTTGCAATCTTGTTTTAATATGTTGTTGTTGGTAGTTAAAGGCCTAAATTACTAGCTTCACAGTCATGTTTGTGTCACCAATGGGAGTTGGGGCATAAATTAGGGCACACACGATTGCACCTAATGGTTGGTCCTTGGGAAAGGGGAACTTATTAGGGGAAGTTTATTCTAGATTATTGCTCATCAGGAGATGGTAGTAATTAGGAATAATTGAATGCTGATCTTTGATCTTATTGGGTGTTTAAGCCATGGGAGTGGAAATTCACTAGGAATAGAGATTACGGGAGTAATTCGATTCCACTTTGCATTCTCATACAAATCTTAATTCCAAACCAAATATTACAAACGTTAATTGGCACTAGGTGATTAAACATTGTGATCCCAAGAATCCTATTTTGCTCTATTGTCTACAAAACCTTGCTACTTATTTTATTATGCTTGTTATTTTATGCAATCAATCAACCTTCAAGTTTTGTTCGGACTAGTTTCATATGAGTAACCTAGTAGCTAGTGATTAGTACCCCATCTCTCTGTGGTTCGACAACACGAATTCTCCGGGTATTATTTGTTTGCCCCAAATTACAGCAATCAAATTGGCGTCGTTGCCGGGGAGGTGGCGTTACGTACTGACATTAGTGATAGTCTTACTTTAGGAGTCTAGTCCATTTTATTTATTTATTTATTTATTTATTTTATTTGCTAATCCATAACAAGTTCCTTGTTCTTGAGTGTGATTTTGCTTTGAATCTAAGAACTTGGCTTTTTATGCATACACGATCTCTTGGGAAAGAAGGATTATTACCTTTGAATCTTGAGATTGAGAAAAGAACCAAGTTTCTTAGGAAACAAACTAGGATGACACAGGTACAAGAAAACCAGGCTGAAGGGAGATCAATGTCTGACTACCTTGCTCTGGATGTTGAGGAGCATGGTAGCATCAATATTCCAAATGTGGAGGCCAATAACTTTGCGATCAATCCGGCCATACTCAGCATGGCTGCGGCAGATCGATTTGGAGGGATGCCCACGGAAGATCCCAATGCTCACGCCACCAAGTTCCTACGACTTTGTGGCACTTTCAAGATAAATGGAGTCACTCAAGATGCTGTCAGACTTAGGCTTTTTCCCTTTACACTGAAGGACAGGGCTGAAGATTGGTTATCCTCACATCCAGATAACCATTTTGACACTTGGGACAAATTACATGGAGAATTTTTGAAGAAGTTCTATCCTATCTCCAAAACTCAAAGGATGAGAAGGGCAATTCAAAACTTTAAGCAACTGGCAACTGAGTCCCTCACTGAGTCTTGGGAGATATTTAAGGAATTGAAGAGGCAATGTCCACACCATGGATTTCAAAGTTGGGATTTGATGATGTCTTTCTATGAAGGATTGCTTGATAATTCTAGAATTTTGGTGGATGCTTCTTCGGGTGGTTCGTTCACGATTCTAGAGCCAACACAAGCCGAGGAACTATTGGAGAAAATTGCTATGAATGGATCTACTTGGTACACGGAGAGGTCTCCACAAAAGCTTGTAGGAGGAATTCATGATGCAGGGCAATTAGCCGATTTGTCAACAAAGTTGGATAATGTGGTCTCCATGGTTCAAAAACTTGCCCAAATCACCACCCAAAATCACAATGTGAGTCATGTTTCTAACCCTCCTACTCTTGGACGAGTTTTGATGTGTGAACTTTGTGGTGGTGGACACAAGTCAGGGGATTGTATCGACGAGTTAAATTCCCAAACCTCTATGGAGCAAGTTAATATGTTGGGATATAATAGGCCTCATCAACAGTCTTTCCAACCTCAAGGGACTTATCATCCCAATAACTCAAGGAACCATCCCGGCTTTTCATGGAGCAACCCAGTGGGAGCTGCCAACCCTCAACACTTTGTTAATAGAGGTCCTCTCGGTTATCAAGGTACTCAAGTTCAATCTAAATTTCCCGTTTCAGAGGCCCCACCACAATCGAATACGGAAGTTTTGTTGGAAAAATTGATTAAAGGTCAGTTAGAGATTACAGAAAGGATGGATAAAATGGAAGCTCGCCAAAATATGGTTGAAAGGCAATTAGCAAATCAACCTTCTATATCAAGTACTAAAGTCACAGGGAAGTTGCCAGCTATGCCTGAAAATCCAAGGGAGCATGTAAATGCAATTGTTACAAGGAGTGGCAAAGTACTTGAAGAGCCACCTCTTCCAATCAAAGCATCAATTCCTAAAAAGACAGTTGAGGAGAAGATTGAAGAGATACTTGATGGTATAGAAGATGAGCCAATTGCTGTGCAAAATAATCCACAAGTTCAAAAGGAAGTAGAGAAACCTGTGAGAAGGTATGTACCCCATTGCCTTTTCCTCAAAATCTTGAAACAACGAAAGAAAGTAGGTGGAAAAAGTTTTTGGAGATTGTTGAGAGTTTGAAAGTTTCAGTTCCCTTACTTGATTTGCTTTCACAAGTTTCCTCTTATGGAAAATTTTTGAAAGAGATTCTAGCTAAGAAAAAGAAATATGGGGAACGAGAGATGGTAGCTGTGGCACAAGAGTATCAAGCGTTGACCCCGGGAATTGGGAGGAATATACCTAAGCATAGAGATCCGGGGAAGTTCACAATTCCTTGTGTGATTGGAAGCCGACCTTTAAAGGGATCCCTTTGTGATTTAGGAGCCAGTGTGAGTGTTATGCCTCTTACTCTTTGTCAAGGGTTAGGGTTGGGAAAACCAAAACCAATCCAATTCACCTTAGAAATGGCGGATAGATCCATCGTAAAGCCTATTGGAATTCTTGAAGATGTCCCAGTTCGTGTGGACAAGTATTTTGTGCCTTGTGATTTTATTGTGATAGATGTCCGAAGGAACCTAGACGTTCCACTCATTTTGGGGAGGCCCTTCCTAGCCACTATTGGAGCAATGATTGATGCAAGGAAAGGGTCCATGATTTTTGACTTTGGGGAGGAAAAGGTGGAATTTAATGTTCTTGATGAGCCAAAAATCATTGAGTGCAAGTCAATTTTGCACATCGACCCTACTCTCAAGGTGACCCATGATGAGTATTTGCATTTGAAGAGTCTATGGGGTGATGAGATCAAACTCGCGGATCAACCAGGATGAGCACTCCATAACCAGGTTAGGTCGAGCTAGCGACGTTAAACTTAGCGCTTCATGGGAGGCACCCCATGTTATCTTTTATTTCTTTCATATTTATTGCTTTCTAGTTTAATTTTATTGCTTTCTAGATTCGTTTTATTTAGTTTTATTGCTTTCTAGTTCGTGATTATTTTTGTTTTATAGTTTTTCTCTTTTCTCTTGCACCAGGGACGATGCAAAGTTTTAAGTGTGGGGGGAGGAATCATTAATTTGGGGATATTTCTAAAATTTTAAAAATTTTTGCTTTTGCTTGGATGACTCATATGCTATTTTTGGTGAATAAGTTACTTGTCTTAGCATGCAGTTGCAATTACTCTCTCTTGTTGGTTTGTGGTTTGTTTTAGTGGTGCTTGCTGCATCTCAATTTGTGATGGATGATTTGAGGTGTAACACATATTTGATCTATTCCCTTGCCAATAGCTTTGTTAACCACTTAATAATTGGATTAATCCTTGATCTTGTGTTTTGCATTGCTAGTGAAGGCTTATGTGAGATTCCGGTCATGGGTGTTTTTGCTAGAACTTGCCTCATTACTCCCTAAGTGATGTCTAAGTTTTGCGTGTTTTGAAGTGATTTAGGCCATTATTGTTTAGCCATAGCCTTTAAACCTGTCCCTATATATATATATTTTTATCCCTCGTATCCCCATTGTGCCTTTTGTTTGTTTAAATAAGTGCTAAGCATTTATCCCCTCTTTGTGATTATTTTTCTTTGATTTACCCCATTATTAAACCCTTAGCCCGTGGCCAAATATTTCCCTTCCACCCTTGAGAGAATGAAACTTTTATCTTTATCTTTTTCGTAAGAAGAGTTTTATGGAGTTGTGCTACGAAAAAAAAAAAAAAAAAAACAGCTAGTGTTACAAATGTTCAAGTGTGGAGGTCATGAAAGTTTGGATTAAAATTATCTTGCTATATCCAAAAGAAGTCCAAAGACAAAGAAAAGAATGAGAAAAAAAAAAAAAAAGATTGAAAGTTTTTGAGTTTGGATCCCCACTTTACCAAAGAGATGTTAAGTTCTTAAAAGAAATTTGCTCCTTGGAATTATGATTATCTCATCTCTTCCAAATCTTGAAAAGTTTAGATAAATTGCGACATTCTTTCTTTTTGATTAATTTTTCCATACCACTTCTTTGTTAGCCATCACCCGTAGCCCCATTACAAGCTAAATAAAATCCTATTTGATCTTAGCATGCATTCTTAGATTTGATCTAGGGGAGTATGAAAGGCAAGCCTAAGGGATCTCATTCATGAACTGTATCTTGCATAATCTCAACTGAGTATTTGTGCACATTTGATCCTCACATGCTTTAAATTCTTGGTGTTTGGTTATTGGCTTGGAAATGGGTCTCTTATGTGCCAAACTAATTTGATTCTTGAAGCTTGTTGTTTTGTAGCAAATGGGTTGGTGGTTTGAAAGGTTGTGCAAGAGAGAGCATGAGTAATTTGTACGTTTTGACTTGTGATTTTATTCCTTAGTTTTGCTTGAGGACAAGCAAAAGCTTAAGTGTGAGGGGGTGATGTTATCACATCTGTGCTTGTTTTTATAGTTATTTTGAATCATCTCAGTATTTAAGTTCTTTAATTTTGCTTATTTGATACATATTTTCCTTGCTATTATCATTTAATTATGGTTCACACTTATTTTGAATGTTTTACGGTGTTTGTTAGTGTTTTTGAACCATTGTAGGTCAATTCTATGAGCAAGGGAAGTTCAAGGATGAGTTCGGAGCAATTTTAGACTAGTTCGGGTACCAGAAGGTTCGACGCGTCGAGCCAAAGGCTCGACGCGTCGAAAATTTCCAGAATGTTTTGTGATCGAGACCCGCTGGTCTCGACGCGTCGAGCGAAAGATTGAAGTCGCGACATTATTACAAAAAGGGGCGTTGGCTTCAGCACTACACTTCAATTCTCAAATCCCAATTTCAACTTCAATTCTCGAATCCAAATTTCAACTTCAATTCTCAAATTCCAATTCCAACTTCAATTTAAATTAATTACGGCAAATTCTTTATTTAAAATATAGGAATTATAAGTTGAGTCCAATTTTGTACAAGATTCCTATTTCATCTCAACTTTGTACCCACTATAAAATCCCTCCTTCCTCAACCCTAATGGGAGCACGAAACCGAGAGATTTTTAGAGTTCTTTGTAGACAAGAAAGAGAGGAATCAAGAGGCTCAAGTTGTCTTTGGAAGCAAGGAGGAAGCCAAGGAGATTTGGGAGAATCGCTTGGTTAATTCTTGTTCTCTTTTGATGATTTGTAATCCTTTATTCATATTTGCTATGTGTAATTTAGCCATGCTCGGCTAAATTCTTTAAGGATTTTTAGGTGAATTTGTTTATAAACCTATGTGCCTAGTTCGTTAATTTCTTAATATATTTATGTTTGGTTTTATGATTTGTGTTGCAATCTTGTTTTAATCTGTTGTTGTTGGTAGTTAAAGGCCTAAATTACTAGCTTCACAGTCATGTTTGTGTCACCAATGGGAGTTGGGGCATAAATTAGGGCACACACGATTGCACCTAATGGTTGGTCCTTGGGAAAGGGGAACTTATTAGGGGAAGTTTATTCTAGATTATTGCTCATCGGGAGATGGTAGTAATTAGGAATAATTGAATGCTGATCTTTGATCTTATTGGGTGTTTAAGCCATGGGAGTGGAAATTCACTAGGAATAGAGATTACGGGAGTAATTCGATTCCACTTTGCATTCTCATACAAATCTTAATTCCAAACCAAATATTACAAACGTTAATTGGCACTAGGTGATTAAACATTGTGATCCCAAGAATCCTATTTTGCTCTATTGTCTACAAAACCTTGCTACTTATTTTATTCTGCTTGTTATTTTATGCAATCAATCAACCTCCAAGTTTTGTTCGGACTAGTTTCATATGAGTAACCTAGTAGCTAGTGATTAGTACCCCACCTCTCTGTGGTTCGACAACCCGAATATTCCGGGTATTATTTGTTTGCCACAAATTACAGCAATCATGATTCTAACCTCACCTAAAAAAAAATAAAACCTACATATTAGTTGACTGGAATGAGTAATAATCTGCTAGAATGTGCATGAGGAGAGAAACTCACCACTAACCAACTTAGCACGACAGCACTGAATCACTACAATAAGTGGTTCTTTTGAATCACTATTGTAATACGGCATGAGTGAAACATGTCAGTGTGTTTTCACTGCCATGACATTAGTAGAAACCAAAAATAATTGATGTCAGTATAAACTTAATACTGATCGGAAAAAACACAAAAAAAATAAAATAACTGTGAGTAGTAAAAACACAAGAAAAATTAGTACTTATACATTATCTTCAATCTGAAAGTCAATCAGTTTGGTTGCCTTTCCACCTATAATCTTATCCACATGATTATTGATCTCAATGACACGACCAATAACATCTGCCAAATGAAAAAATTTTCAGTAAGATGTTAGCAGTTCAGCTTAACATAAGATATTAAAAAATGGAGAAATGAAGAGATAGTACCAATAAGTTCCTTGTCGTTCACATCTGCAGTGTCTTTTAAAGAAATGAAACTCTTTAATCGAAACATTTTAAAAGGAAATCCTAAAGAGTTTATCTCCTTCACTTCTGTCCTGTAGTTCAGTTTGATCATATACGCATGCTGTGTAATCTTGTACACATAATAATTTGTCGCAGCCATGAAATTTTTGATTTCGAACAATTTTCCCTCCTTGAATATTTCTCTATATTTCACCACACCTTTTTTTTGAATGCTAGCATGAATATAGCTTCCCTGAAAAAAAACAAAAACAAAAATTACTCATATATGAAATAGGATTAGATTAGTAGGTAACAGTTACATGATGCATTAAAAATAGATAGCATTACCTCTTCATCATGCAGTATTACTTCCGTACTCTTACTGCTGTTACCCTCTCCCCTTTTCTCTGGAACTTTGAATACCCTGACTACTCTAACATGAACTGCCCTGAGCTGGTATTGAGGTTTGATGTCCTTCACAAGTATGAACATTGACGGCATTGTGTTCAACAAAATGATATTTCAAACGCGCTGTAAGCAAAAAGATTTTCGGAAGGAATACTTTACACCAATAAGACGATTATTTATAGACTTTGAAGTGTTGGATATTTCAAATGAATGATCAGCAGCTTGTGTATGGGAAATACACAATTTTTTAAAATGTATTAATTGCAGAGTAAAACTCTGCGTCTTCTATGTATGTATGTGTGTGTATATATATATATATATATATATATATATATATATATATATATATATATATATATGTTTTTATTATGTGAGCATCTGTTTATTCAACCCTTGGTTATCCGAGCATGCTAATGATGTTGTTTAAAGTACCAAGACTTCTACATTAAATGTATTTCTTGAGACAAAAGGACTTTAGGGTTTATGCAATTATAATCGCTGTAGAATACAAATAGTTGTCTAAAACAAAACGGCTAAGACGAAAGAACATTAGTCACGCGTACAAATTCAAAGAACCGGCTATTCTCTCATTTATGTGTTTGCAAAACGGCGTAGTATGCAATGGGCGGGAAACAATGGTTGCATAAAAATGCACAACGGCGTTTTATCCAATGGGCGGGAAAAAATGATTGGCAAAATTTTCTTGCTTTATTATAGAGTTATATTGAAAATGAGATTTTGAAAAAAGTTGATATCAAAAGTTTGGTTGATGGTTTTGCGTCTAAATATGCACGGTGCATGTCACTTTTTAAATAAAATTTTAGATGCATTTTTATACAATATTTATATTTTGAATTTTTGACACAACTTTTTGACAAGTGTTATTTATATATACAAATTACTTAAAAAGGGAGCCTAATTTAAGATTTTACACAGGACCCCCATTTTTATTGGAACGACCATGACTTTATTACTCTTATTAAATTAAATAAATTATTAGCTACAAAAAAAAAATAATACATATACATTTAATTAATTTAGAGTTAGATGTCTATAATGCCTTTATTTTAAAAAAATTATTCATTATAAAAAATTTAAAAAGAGATATAATTTCATTAGGTATATTATTTTATTTTTTACAATTCAAAGATTCCTTACCTTCAAATTTATTAATTTTTTATATTCACTACATTGTTCAATGTTTTTTTTTTTTTTTTTTACATTATCTTATAACTAAATATCAAAGTTATAATACAAAATATGTTATATATATTTATTTGCCAAGTATTTTATACAAATATACTAAATATTAATATTTTATTCAATACTTTCACATGATAACCTACGACACACATCTCACAGCACATGAAACATGTAAGAAAAATCTACCACTATCAAATATCAATCGGTGCTTGTAAGATAAAGAGTTAATAGTACAATTAAGATCCCAGTCATATACACAACAATGCAAATCTAAAATTTCCTACACCATAATCTCATCGCACGATGAATCCCTCTATGATACCATCAGTAACCAATTACACATGACACACTACCAATAAAAAAAAAAAAAAAAAAGACATGTACTGAAGATGAAGACAATGACAATGCTACCCAAAAGAGAAATTAAGAAGAATTAGAGAAATTTAAATCAAAAGTAGTATTTATTTAGATTATCGTTTTTAGACTAAGTATTTAGACTAGCGTTATTACAAAGTTGCAAACATTATTTTTGTGATAATATAATCAATCTCTCATATATTATCTTGCATTTATATACTTTAAATTACTGATTTAAATAATAAATTCAACATTTATTTATGTATTTCATGAACATCTCCTATATAATATTGCATTGATATACTTTAAAATACTTATTTAAAAATAATCATTGGGCATTATTCTATTCGAGCAAAGTGCGTAAAAAAACTCGTAATAATTATAATATAACTCGACAATAATACATTTTAAAAAGGTAATGTTGTTAACAAAAATACAAATAAAGAGCTTAAACGTCCAACATATGCTAACTAAATGCAATAATTTATTAAAATTGGTTTATTGGTAAAATAATATAACAATTCATTAATATATTGTAGTTCTTATATATATTTTTTATTTACAATAAAGTTCGCAATTGTTATCTGCCCGCCGAACTTTTTCTCAATAAACGATTCTTTGCTTAAAAAAAAAATGTAGTATCTGTTCTATAAAAAAAAAAAGTTCGCAATTGTTATCCAAAAGTGCGTTTAGGGTGAAACTCGCCAAGTGACCCTAGCCAGCAAAAGACTACAAAAGGTAAATAAATTTAAATTGCGTATAACTGACCAACTCAAACTAAAAATGACTAATAGACAACTTTCACAGGAGTTGAACTTGATGTATTTATATATTCTAAACTAATTTAATATTGATTTTAAATAAAAATAAATGTATCTTATTTTCTTGAATGTTACTGACTCTATTACATTGTAATATGTGTTCATCTATACTTTCTCAATACCGTTTCCACTGAAACTCGATCTTATAACTTCCCATATGGGAGAGTCACTACATTATATTTGAACACAAGGTGCTTAGCTAAAAGTATCTTATTCATTGAAATTTTATTAATTTAGTGGATTTGTTTTATTAGGCAAATACATTAAAAATCACTTGTCTAGATATATGAGTTTGAGAACATTTAATATTGAGAATGATTCATATCCAAAATAATCTTATATAGAATATAAAATATTTTAATCTTCTTTATTTTAATCAAAAGTAAAAATATTATTATAATCAAAATATTAAAAATAAAATAAATTGAATAATTAATTTGAAAATGATTAAGTCCATAAATCAGGCAAATAATAGAATTGAATTCATAACTACAAAAGTTCTACTGATTAAATTAGTAAAAATTGTAATTAATTAGGTCTTAACATTACTTATTCAATAGTTTATCGTTGATCTAAAACTAAATAGACTTCCACATGTACTTTTATTGACATGTAGTAGTGATTTGACATAAATTGAATAATGAGTATTATACAAAAATTATAAATTTTTTAAAAAACTTTAGAAAATTAAAATGCCCGATGGATGCAGATGCCTGGTGTTTTATTTTCAAATTATATATATTTTTTAAAAGTTGAATAATTTTTAATTTTTAAAATCTTTTTAAAAATTTTGCATAAGATTTCCAATTCATGTCAAATCACTGTCACATTTGAATAAAAGTACATATGGAAGCTTAATGAACGTCAAATAGTAGTAACTTGCTACCTATGTAATATTATAATTCAATTGCACAAAAAAAAAAAAAAAAAAAAAAGAACAATTTAAGATGTTTTAGTGCTTTTTTTTTTTTTTAAGTTAGAAGGCTCAATTGCACTATCCGTTCAATTTTTAATATTATAATGATATGAGATATGATTAATTTGGTTTATTGGTTGCATCTTAGAGAGATGTTATTTTCCCATCCTTATTTTATCTCATAAATTCACTCTTTGATGTGTAAATCTAAGAAAGTGAATATTAGACCATCTCCAAAGAAGACACCAAAACACCATTTTAGTATAAAAATTTGATGCAACCTTCCTCCAAGGAAGAAACCAAATTCTACCACAAAATGGTGTAAATGAATAGTGTTACACCAAATATTGTGTAACACTATTCATTTACACAATTTTGGTGTGGAATTTTTTTAAAAATCTTTTTGTCGATTGTTTTTTTTTTTTTAATTTATATTATTAAAAATAAATTATAAAGATTTAAAGATCTCATTGAGACGTTTAAAACGAGATCAATATCGATTATAAAATAATTAAAAATTAAAATACATAACAACATAATTTCCTTTTAAAATATTTATTTATATCAAAATTATATTTTATATTAAAATAATTAAAGTAAACAAAATTAAAGTTTTAAATTATAAGAATAGAAATTATTTTAGTGTATGAATAGAATTTGGTGTAAATGATTTTAACCGCTCTGTTAAAATATATAACAATAGATTAAAAATTATCTCCCTTCTAGGGTTTCTCTCTATCTCTCCCATCTAATTTCCGAACGAAAGCAAGCAGCGACGAACGATTAAGCACGCTGATCGACGACGAAGGCTAACATGGCATCTCCGACGCAACAGCAGCTTGATGAGCAAGTGGCGAGGGTGACGGAGCAGTGGGCCGATATGGTCCTTAAGGATGAGGAGGAAGGTGTGGAGGCCGAAGGGTTTGGTTAACCAACGGTAGAGGATGGAGCGACGGTATATTCCGTTGTTGGGAGGTTCTTGACGACCAAGCTGATTAAAGTTGAGTATATGCGGCAGGTTCTGACTTCGGTTTGGATGCCGGCGATGGGGATGAGGGTGACGGAGCTACATGCAAATCTGTTCCTTTTTGCCTTTTACCATGAAACAGACATGACTCGGGTGCTTGAGGAGGGGCCATGGTCGTTTGAGAACCATACGCTTGTATGCCGGTAGGTACGCGATGGGATGCTTCCAAGGGAAGTCAAGTTGGACACTGTTGATATGTGGGTGCAGGTCTATGATTTGCCGGTAGGTTATACTAACAATATGGTCTTAAAACAAGTCGGAAATTTCATCGGAACATTCATCCGTTGTGATAACCGGCAAGTTGGCGGACTGATAAAGGTTTTTTACCGAGTGCGTGTGGCGGTGGCGGTGTCGGTGGAAAAACCCTTGAAACGGTGTATGAAGCTGATCCGTAGGGACAGGACATGGGGATGGGTGATCCTGAAATATGAATGGTTACATAATTTTTGTTTTTACTACGGAATGCTTGGGCATCTGGATAAGTTTTGTCTGAAGGCACGTGTATCCGGTCTCACCCCTGAATTTTATCCTTTTGGATCGTGGACGAGGGCAAGTCAGACTAGAGGCCCCCGGCCGGTTGGTGCGTCCTAGTTGTTGCCACCGCTAGAAGCAACCGGATCGCCAATCGCCCAGCGAACAAGAACGGAGGAGACAGCCTCCTCGGATGACGGCCAGGGTGACGTTAGAATGGAAACACCAAGTGATGACGGGGAGGAAGGGGTGGTGGCCTCCTCAAAACGCCGCCATGCAGTTAGGGTCAAGGTGGCGGCTTCAGCCGCCGGTTGGTGGAGAAACGAGTGTGGATGGTAATTCAAAAAACTTGCATATGGCGGGAACTGGTGCCAGTCCCGCCCGGCCCAATGAGTACTTTAAGCTGGAATTGTCGTGGCTTGGGTAATCCACGGACAGTTCAGGAAATTGTGGACATTGTGTCCCGTAAGAAACCCGACTTTGTATTTTTAATGGAAATCATGGTAGGCTGGGATCATGCAGAAAGACTCCGGGTGAAGCTTGGTTTTGATGGTTTTTTTTATGTTGACAATACAGGATTGAGTGGTGGCTTGGCTCTATTGTAGAGGACGAATAATATGACAAGCTTATTAAGTTTCTCAAAAAACCATGTGGACGTAGAGGTAAACATACCAGGGTTTGATAAGGGGAGGATGACAGGTTATTATGGATTCCCTCAGCGGGGGAGGCGAAATGACTCTTGGGAGCTTATCAGATCGTTATCACACCGTTCCCAGCTACCATGGGCTGTTATATGGGATTTTAATGATCTTCTGCATTAGCATGAAAAGCGGCGGGGGGGGGGGGGGGGGGCGGGGGGAATCCCCACCCAGAGACCCTGTTACGTGGCTTTGGAGACACTATTGATGATTGTGGTTTGGCCCAGTTGCCGATGCAGGGGTATCCGTATACATGGGAAAGAGGGGATGGGACCGCGGACTAGAATGAGGAGAGATTAGATAAAGTTCTAGTTACACAGGGGTGGCGTGAGGTGGTCAGGGAGGCCAGTGTTTTGAACATTCTAACCCAAAACTCGGATCATTCTGCTCTTTTCCTTGGGATTTTAAATCTTCGGGAAAGGAGGGGTGGTGTGAGGAGAGGGTTCCGTTTTGAGATGGCTTGGCTACATGATGAAGGCTGCAGGGAAGTGGTTGAATGGACATGGGCTGAGGGGAGAGATAGGGATTTACAAACTTGCATTGAGCTGTGTGGAAACAGATTATCACGGTGGGGAGGAAATCGGTTTCATAAGTTTGGAGAGCAAGCTATGTGGTCTCCGTAAGGAACAATTGCGGCTGCGGGGACGCATGGATCATGCATTACTAGCTGAATATCAGCGTCTGGAGGGGTGCCTGGCTCGAATTGAGATACAGGAGGATGCGTATTGGAGACAGAGAACAAAATAACACTGGCTCAAAGGAGCAGATGCGAACACGAAATTCTATCACAGGTATGCCTCTCACCGTAAAAAGAAGAATACACTATCTAAAATTATGAATGATAATGGAGACTGGTGGATGGGGAAGCTATGAGGACTATTATTCTTGATTATTACCGTGGTATTTTTTCTTCGAATGAATCTGAAAATGATGGGAATTTTTATGAGAATATCTTGCCCCAAGTGTCACAAACACAGAACAATGGCCTGTTGCGCCCTTTTGAGAATGCAGAAGTAAAAGCAGTGCTATTTGCCATGTTCCCAGACAAGGCGCCTGGCCCGGATAGAATGAATCCGGGCTTTTATCAGCATTATTGTGATGTGGTGGGAGGGGATGTGTCAGATTTTATTGTGAATTGCCTAAATACTTGTTCCTTTCCGGTTAATTTGAATGATACTGATGTTGTTTTGATCCCCAAGAAAAAGAACCCGGAATTGGTCTCGGATCTTAGGCCTATAGCATTGAGTAATGTGATATACAGGATTATGGCCAATATAATTTCTGCCAGAATGAAGCCACTAATGGATGAAATTATTTCTGATACGCAGAGTGCGCTTATACCTGACAGACTGATTACAGATAATATTCTAATTGCTGCGGAAATTGGTCATTATTTAAACAGGAAACAGTGTGGTATGACTGGATGGGGTGCGTTAAAGTTAGATATGGCGAAGGCATATGACCGTATGGAGTGGCCTTTCTTGCATAATATGTTAATGGCGTTGGGTTTTGATGCTAGGTGGGTGGATCTTATCATGTTGTGTGTAACTATTGTGTCTTATAATATTTTGTTGAATGGCTCTCGTAGCCTGCCTATTACCCCGACCTGTGGGCTGAGGCAATGCGACCCTTTGTCCCCGTATCTTTTTATTATCTGTGTTGAAGGGCTCTCGTTACTGTTACAACAAGCACATGCTCAGGGAACAATTCATGGCTGCAGAGTTGCGAGAGGTGCACCCCCTATCTCTCACCTATTTTTGCTGATGACAGTTTATTATTTTTAAGGCAAAAATTCAGGAAGCTGATGTGATTAAACAGTGTTTGACAGGGTATGAAAATTTATTTGGCCAAGTGGTGAATTACCACAAGTCAAGTATATGTTATAGTAAGAACACGCGGGACGAGGACAGGGATGATGTGGCTCACATTTTGGGAGTTGTCCAAGCTCCCAATTATGGAAATATTTGGGACTTTCCTCTTTTATAGGGAGAAATAAAAAAGCAGCATTTTCATATATTGAGGATAAAATCGGGCAAAGAATTGTTTTCTGGAATAAAAAGTTGTTGTCACTGGTAAGGAAGTCTTGTTAAAAAGTGTGGCCAAAGCTATGCCTACTTTTTCAATGAGTGTTTTCTTATTACCAATGGGGATTTGCACAGCTATTGAGCGAACTATGAACCGATATTGGTGGGGATCTGGAAATGATCGAGGCATCCATTGGAAGGCCTGAGACAAATTGTGTATACCGAAGAAACATGGGGGCTTGGGTTTCAAGGAGCTACATGCTTTCAACCTAGCAATGTTGGGTAAACAAGCATGGCACCTACTTACTAAACCTGAATCTTTAGTCTCAAAAGTCTATAAGGCCAGATACTATCCTAAAGGAACCTTTTATGATGATTGCGTAGGAAATAATCCCAGTTTCTGTTGGCGCAGTATCATGGCAGCTCATACCATGGTATGTGGGGGAGTCAGGCGCAGGATTGGAAATGGGGAAACAACTTTAATATGAGACCACCCATGGCTACAAGACCAACACGACCCAATGATCCACACGGAAAAGCCTTTGAATAATGCGACTGTTATGGGGTTAATAGACCAGGAAACAAAAACTTGGGACCCGGATATTTTGGCAGATATTTTTTACCCCACTGATGTAACTCGTATATTAAAAATACCAATATCACCAGACTATGCGAACATGTGGTATTGGCATGGAGATCAAAGAGGTAACTATACTGTAAAGAGAGGGTACATGTGCATTGTTGGAAACTATGATCATACTGCAGGCAACTTTGATAACTGGCTAGGTTTATGGAGACTCAAGATCCCCCAAATGGAAAACCTTTTTATGGAGAGCTTTGAATGATATCCTCCCCACTACAGCAAATCTAATTATAAAGAGAGTGGAAATTCAACCTACATGTGCCGTGTGTGGGATGGTGAATGAGGACACAATGCATGCTTTAGTAACATGTGATTATGCTAGTTCCATTTGGGGCCAATCTCACCTTCCAATCCCCATGAATACGACAAATGTAGCCGAACACATGCTACCACCACCGGATCCTCATGCGCCAACGATGAAATGCTACTTCGATTTCGGTTTTTCGCACGACACGGGCAACGCCACTGTTGGAGTCGTGTTGATCGATGGAGAAGGAGGATATATATCGGTCTTCAGTGCACTCTTGCCAGACTGTCTCTCCCCACTTATGGCTGAAACATTCGCATGCAAAGAAGCTCTGTCATGGTTATGGAATCGTGGAGAACGGGTTATACAATTATTCACAGATTGTTTGACCTTAAAACAATACTTATCAGAACCAACGACCTCACTCCGGTCGTACATTGGCTATGCCGTTGATGCCTGCAGAGCACGCATCGCCTATTTTGATTATTGTTCGGTTATTTTTATTCCTAGATCAGAAAACTTTTTAGCTCATAGTTTAGCTTCTTTTGCTTTTATTCATTCCGCTACTATGTATTGGGACTCTGTCCCACCACACTCTATTTCACAGTATTTTGAATAAACGCCATGATGACTCCTTTCAAAGAATTTGGTGTAAATGGATTGGAGATGAAAAAAAAAATGGTGTAAGAATATGCTTGGAATATTCATTTTGGTGTAGAATTTGGTGTTTTGGGTTGGAGAGGACATTTAGGAGGTAAAAATCAAGAGGGAAACTAACTTTGCTATATATATATATATATATATATATATATATATATATATTATTGGGTAATGAGAGAAACCAATATTTACTTTCCGAGAATGTACACGCGATAAATCCTATGTGACGATCTCGATGGAGAGAGCATTAGTAAGAATAAAGTGAATCATACTCTTTCAATTCAAGCACTTATTTCAGGGTCACATCACTGTTATTTATTTATTTATTTATTATTATTATTATTATATTGCGGTATTTATTTATTACTGTATAATTTTAGAATTGATTGAAGTACATAAAAATAAGTTAATTCTGAATAATGTAAGGTAATCTAGGATTTGAAAATATGGGATAAGATGTCGACTGAAAAGATATGCAAAAAGAAAAAATTGATGTTAAAAGGTGTTTTAAGAAATGGAAAGGGTTAAGACTTAAGAGTGGAGTGAAAGAAAAAGGACAAAATGCTGCGGTTTTTCTCCTCCTTCTCTTCCGCTTTCTCACTGTAAAACCATTTTCTCTCTCTCTCTCTCTCTCTCTCTCTCTGCTGGCCAGTGGCCACCCCCACTTCCATTTCTAAAAACACTGGCATTCATTCTTAGCTTCTCCCTGTTTTTATATCACGAGATCCCCATCTCTTCTCCCTCCCTGCATGTCTTTTTCAGAGCCTCTCTTTTTCCATTGCAGCAGAGCAGAGCAGAGACGTGTATGCCCTGAACTCAGTGTTTAGAGAGAGAGAGATAGTTTGGAAAATGTCTGATTCAAGAAGGGCATCGGTGTCCGATATTGGGATTGACGCTTTGAGTGATCGGTTGAGGAAGTCGCTCCGGGACAATGGGCCGCCGGAGATGAACAAGCCAGATTTCAGGGAACTCGATCTGGGTTCGCCGGTTTCTCCCTTGCGTCCTGCTCCTGCTACTACCAGTAGTAGCTCTAGTTCTTCTGGATCCTTGTCGGGTCGGAACGGGGCTCCCAAGTCCGGTGAGCTCTCGGGGTCGGTGGAGAGTTCACCCACCCCGACAGCGCGCCGCGGCTTCAATCCGCGCTCAGATTCCGCCTCTTCTCACCCTCTAATTTACTCCCGTGGGAGCTGTGTCAACTCTCCGCCGCCGTCCAATGCTTTTCCCACCGGCAATATCTGCCCCTCCGGCAGGATTCTCAAGACCGGGATGGCCAGCAAGTCATCCAAGACTGACGTTTTGGGGTCGGGGACTGGGAATTACGGCCACGGCAGCATAATACGCGGATTCGGAAGTAGTAACAAACCCACCAATTTAATGGCGGAAGAGACTCAGAAGAGGGAAATGTTGAGCAATGATCCAGAAGAGTTGAAGAGGATAGGCAATGAGAATTACAAAAAGGGTCATTTCGCAGAGGCTTTGAATCTATATGACAAGGCCATTTCAATATCTCCCGGCAATGCAGCTTACCATTGTAACCGGGCAGCAGCTTTGATTGGTCTCAAGAGATTGGTAGAGGCAGTGAGGGAATGTGAGGAAGCTATTAGATTGGATCCCAGATATGTTAGAGCCCACCAGCGTTTAGGATCTTTGTTCCTTAGGTAAGTATAGTGTTTGCAATAATAAAGTTTGAATCTTTATTAATGTTTTCTTTTTGATTCCAAGGTTTTCTTGTCTCATTCTCAAGTTTCCTTGCAAAAGTTGTTGTGTGACTGACTAGGTTAGGTGCTTCCTTTATTTAAGGTGATTAATATTTGGTTAGTTTATGTAATTGTGCCATAGCCTATAGCCTATAGGTGATGTTAGAATGGCTTTTTTTCAGCTTTGCAAGATCTGGTTCATTAGGGTGAATGGATGGACTGGTTTGTTTGTTTGGATTGTTGTGGTCATTGTTACTGTTAGATATTCCTTATGTTCCCTTTATTAGCAGGACTGTCCTTGCTTTTAATCACACTGTACTTTCCTTGCTTTTAATCTAGGTCACTGTACATTTCCCTTTTACCTACTTAGAAGATTCTGATCTCTAAGCAGCTGGGAATTCCATGACATTCAGTTTTAAGTGTTACTTAGTATGCTAGGCTACGTAGTTGACATGTCGGTTATAGTAAAGTGTTTATTTTTTATATTTCTTTTGTTAGTAAACAAGAGTGATGATGGATGTGAGGTGGTATGTATGGGATTCTAATCCATCCCAACTTTCTAGAAATGAGCTTAGGCTGCCACTGGGCTAAATACCGAATTCCATTAATTTTCAAGATTTATTACTGTATAATCGTTTGGACTTGAGATAAACGAGATTCTAACTCGGGCGAAATGTCTAAAAAGAAGCTTAGCATATCTGTAGACTGATTTCAAGATTATACTGTTGATATCTGGAGTCTGTTTTGGATTGATTAGTGGCTATGGTTCACTGTATTTCCTTTTCTGCTTATTGTAGTTAGGTTCTTGGAATTTGCTTTGCTCGTATTGAATTGAGCTGTAAGCGATCTAATTCATCTAGGGTCACAGTTTAGGACAGGTAGAAAATGCCAGGAGCCACATTTGTCTTCCGGGGCACCAGCTAGATCACTTGGAGTTGCGGAAGTTGGAAGCAGTGGAGAAACATATAGAAAAGTGCAATGATGCACGGGGAGCCAGTGATTGGAGGAGTGTGTTGCGTGAAGCTGATGCTGCTATTGCCTCTGGAGCCGATGCATCTCCTCAGGTAACGGCAATGTTGTAGAAAGGGTTAACCTTGACAAAAATTGATCACACCAAAACGCTTTCGAGGCCGAATCCATTTTGAAAATGATAAATGCATTGCTTCGTTTCTTTATCAATAGTATCAATCTCTTTGCTAGCATTAGTCTTCGTTTCTTTATTCACAGTATAAGTCTCTTTGCTAGCATTAGTCTTTGTTTCTTTATTCACAGTATCAGTCTCTTTGCTAGCATTAGTCTTCGTTTCTTTATCAACAGTATCAGTCTCTTTGCTGGCATTAGTCTTCATTTCTTTATCAACAGTATCAATAGGTTGATTGTTTTTGAATTGCAGCTCTTTGCATGTAGAGCAGAAGCACTTGCGAAGCTCCACCAGTTAGACAATGCTGATTCAAGCCTATCGAAACTTCCTAAAATAGAATCAACTGCTTCCTTCTCCCAGTCAAAATTTTTTGGGATGCTTTCTGAAGCGTACGTGTTCTTTGTTCGGGCTCAAATTGAGTTGGCTCATGGAAGGTGAGTTCCTAATTTCCGTGTAAATGACATCATGATCTCATCTGGAATGTGACGTAGAATTGTGAATATTTTCAGGTTTGAAAGTGCGGTTGCTGCCATTGAGAGAGCTAAACAGATTGACTGTCAAAACGTTGAAGTTTCTGTTTTACTCAACAATGTGCGGTTAGTTACCCAAGCTCGTACCCGTGGCAATGATTTATTTAAATCCGAAAGGTTTACAGAAGCTTGTGCCGCTTATGGGGAAGGCCTCAGGTTTGATCCTTCAAATTCGGTTCTGTATTGCAATAGAGCAGCCTGTTGGTATAAGCTGGGACAGTGGGAAAAATCTGTGGACGATTGCAGCCAAACTCTCCGTATCCAACCGAATTATACGAAAGCTCTTCTTCGAAGGGCAGCCTCAAACATGAAGGTAATACTCCTTTGTCTTTTACAACTTGCCCCAAAGGAATTTTGATGGCGACTTACATTTCATAGTTTAAAAAAAAAAAAAAAGCTTTTAAATGTGGGTGAATCGGCTACTACAGCTAGAACGGTGGGCTGAGGCTGTAAGAGACTACGAAGCTTTGAGGAGTGAATTACCACACGACACCAAAGTTGCTGAATCACTGTTTCACGCCCAAGTTGCTCTAAAAAAATCCAAAGGGGAAGAGGTTTATAGCAGGAAATTTGGTGGAGGTGTTGAGATAGTCTCAGGTCTTGAACAATTCCAATTTGCAATTTCGTCTGGTAGGCTCTTTTCTTAATAATTTAACTCATACTTTATGATTCCAGTGTTTGAAAATTTAGAATTGGTGGAAATCGCAGGGACATCGGTGGTGCATTTTAAAGTGGCATCCAATACACAATGCACACAGATATCGCCATTTTTGGACACATTGTGCACCAGATATCCATCAATAATTTTTCTCAAGGTAAACTACCAAACACAATGGGTTCTGTACATTTCTTGGGATATGCCTTTATTATGCTTGGAAACAATGTATGCAAACATCTAGAATATTTGAAAAAGGTAAAAACTTATAGTTCAATTTGTAAGTGAAGGTGGATGTGGAAGACAGCCCAGCAATTGCCACAGCTGAGAGCATCACGACTGTGCCAACGTTCAAAATATACAGAAACGGCAGCCAGTTGAAGGAACTGGTCTGCCCAAGTCCAGAGGAGCTGGAGACTTCGGTGAGGCATTGGGCTATCTAGAATACTATTCAAGAATTACTTCGTGGCGATATAACCGGACCTACCACATTTCAGCCAAAAGGCAAGTGGAATTCAGAGAGATAGTGTAGTTTGTTTTCGTTTTTTATTTTGATTTTTGATTTAATCATTCAATCCTCATTGCCTTCAAGTTGTAAAATTTTCTCATCTCCTAATCTCACATCATATCATTTAGTTTCTTCAAATTCTTCTTCCTCCTCCCCCCTTTATTAGCTAGACATTTAGAAGTCAGAGAGAAGAGATGGTTGGCTGGCTGGCAATTATAGATGAGGATCTAAACATGTATATATATGATAATATATACAAAATCTTTGCAGGCCATTGAGGGAGATTGGATGTCTGATGGTTGGATTAGTAGTGAAAGAAGGATGAATTGTATGTGTTATTGATATTGTGTTGTTCAACCTTTCCATCAATAAAATTTTTCCATTTTTTTCTTGTTTCATCTGCTTGTTTTTGCATTGTTTTAATATAGCAAATGGTCTCGAATTTTGTATGCTGCATTGCCATATTTGCCCCTTAAGTTATCTAAAGAAGAGTTAGTGTGGAGCCTTCATATGTTACTGGGAGATGACAGGTGAAGTGGAGTAGAATGGAGCAACAACACTTGTCTCTAAGTGAGTTGGGGGTTTGTAAATGTACAGTTTATGATATAATGTTTGTAACCTTGGATGATTTATCATCATCACAATTAATAAAAATCTCATTTGCTCCTCTAGACGTAGTCCGTGTAAATTCTTCTTCTTCTTCTTCTTCTTCGTTTTCGTTTTTTGTTGTTGATCTCTTAATCCCCTTTTTTTTCAACTCCATTGAAAAAGGTTTGAATCTAAAACCTTGTCCCAAGCTGGCATTAATGATTAATGAACAAGCAAGCTAAAGGCAATGAAGGCACTACTTTATTTCCAGTTACCAGCGGAAGAAGGTAGTCTCTCTCTAAGTGCATCAAGTTTGTGTGGTGTTTGATACAAGTCATTATCTTATTGTATAGTTGTCCCATTAATTCTTCTTTAACTATTTCTTCAATTCCCTCTTTAATCTTCAAGGAAACCATACATTGCATGTTCTAATTAATTAACAACTTCAAGGTGAATACATCTTTCCCCATCTCTTTTTTGCATCAAAACCATACCTTGCTCATTAATTCAATTCACCTGGCCATGTTTGGTAACATATTAGCTGCAGGGCCGTTCCAATAAAAAATGGGGTCCTGTGCAATATCTTAAATTGAGCCCCTTTTCAAATAATTTGCATATATAAATAATAGTTGTGTCAAAAATTCAAAATATAAATATTGTATAAAAAATTAATCTAAAATTTCATTTAAAAAGTGACATGCATGGTGCACATTTAAATCATCCACCAAACTTTTGATATCAACTTCTTCTAAAATCTCATTTTCAATAGAGATTAAAGCAAATTCATTGAGTCTCTTTTGCAACATACTTGATCGTAAATAAGATTTCAACAATTTAGAATCTTACACAAGAATATCTATTAATTTAGAATCAAGAGCATCTCAATTTCTTGGATCATATATGTCAAATAAAAGCGAATTATTTGGTTTATCATTGTGACCAACATCATCTAAACAACTATCAACATTCTTATTATTTTCATTGTCACTGTGATACCTATCATCGTTGTGCACACTATCATTTAAAATTTTTCCAATCTCACAATCATCTTGATCTTCTATATGAAGATTTGCATCTAACAATTTTTCTTTAGCATCATATTTTTACACATCTATTTGAACTAATTAATCAAGAAACAAATTCTTGAATATATATTATTCTGAAATCAGAATTATCAAGTCATGTAAATAAAACAATGAACAATAATGGTGAAATATTAATAATTTTAATTACCTATTAAGAGAATTGAAAAACTTTAAAATTTGTGACTTTATATGATCAAGAAGAATTGACAATTCTATTGAATTGCATTTATCGTCTCACTCATTGTCTATTTGTGAGATTTGTGATTTTGTGTAAATAAGTATTAAGAGGTTTTGATAATGTTGTAAATACTCAATGAACTCAAGCTAATTAGCTAATAATCTAATCTAATATACTGTATACATAAATAATTTAATACATAAAGCCAAAGCACTTAATTAGCTAACTAATAATCTAATCTAATATACTGTATACATAAAAATTAAATACATAAAGCCATAGGGGATAGGGTTGCGTACTTGCATAATAGCGGTAATGCCGAAGCAAGGAAAAGCAAGGGTATTGCGGCATTGCCGATTTCGTAAGAGCGGTGTTGCGGTAATGCCGACTGCGGCTTAATACACTATATATACAATTTATTTTTTTTTTAAATTATGAGGGCCGGCCCTGATTAGCTGTTTCACTTGGTTAAACAACTAAGTGTTTCATGAATTAGCTTTTTGTAACACTAAAATTTAAAAAGTTGTTCAAATCAGTTTTTGAGAAAATCATTTTGCATGTAATCATTTATCAGTTAACATCTAATTTACCAAGTATCTTTCTATAATCAGCTAATGTTATTAACTAGTCAAACTCACTACCTCAATCAGCTTAATGTATATAAAATTTGTGATCAGTATCTGTCAGAATTGTGAAATGCAATAATATTGTATTCGGATAGTTATTTATTAAGCACTTACTTGGGTGTTTCTGGTAAGAAAATGTTATACAAATCAAATTTGGTCTAAGTCCCAAATACTATATGATGTGACAGGATCTAGTAATACTAAGTATTAGATTTTATGGGTCAAACTACCTATAAGTTCATTGTATTATAGTGTTTTGTTCAATTGAATCTATTTAAAAAGCGATACAATTAAGGACAATAATTACTAGTGTTAATGTAATTGTTAACATAGTTGGCGTGGGGCTCGCATCATCAATGCCACATCATGATATTTACATGTCAACTCGTATATTATTTTATAAATATTTAAAATTAGTTATTTTTACTACTAAAATATTATATTAATAATTTTAAAAATAAATTATGATATTTACATGCCAACTTATATATTATTTATTTTATAAATATTTTTACCACTAAAATATTATATTAATATCATTATTTATTATGGACATATTAATGAAATATATTGGTAGTAAAAATAATTAAATTTAAATATTTATAAAATAATATATGAGTTAGCGTGTAAATATCATGATGGTGCAAAGATGATGTAAGTGTCACATAAGCCAAGTTAAAGGTCATATAGGGCATCCCCAATAGGAAAATTTTCATTGATTTTTGCAGTGCTAATGCTTATGTGGAGGAAAGAGGGAGAGGAGAGAGAGAAGAAAATGAGTTGTTGCAGAGTTGTAGAGAGAGTGAGTTTTTGTCTCCAAATGTGGGGCCCGCATGGAGAGAACAAAGGAAAAGCTACGGAGGTCTCATGCGCGTTCAATGCAAGCTTTGCACCCAGAGGGCGCGTAAAACCTTTTTAATTTATTTTTATGCTTCTTTTTTTTAATATTTTTTTGCTTTTGTTTTCTCTCCTCTCTCCTTGTAATCCGACAAAATTTTTTCAAAACTATGCCTAAGGGAGATGCTCTTAACAACGTTAACTATTGTTTTTAATTGTACTTTTTAAAGTATAAGAATTAAATTGAACAAAATGTTTAAGTATAAGGATTAAATTGAACAAAACACTATAGTATGATGGATTTTATGAAATAGGGAGGCTCTTAGTGCAGGAGATTTCATCTTTTATATATAGGTAAGGATAAGTATTAGGTTTTAAAAACTTATACTCCTTGTCACATTAATTCAGTCGATTTGAAACCGAATATAATTTGTGAAGAAGTATGGTCATCCACTCGTCCCTCCCTGTTTTAATTAGGTGTGGATGAAGTAAGAGTCGTCTAGTGGAGGGTTGAATGAATGCAGATTAGATAGAAATGACAGTGAGCATTTATACACCTAACTAACTAACTAACTTCCAACTAGTGAATGAAGGAGATGATAGATATATATGTAGTGGGTGTTCACGTCTGTCTATTGTATAATAATAATACACACCCTTGGAATTTGGTAATTGCAGCTTTGCAGTTTGGCCGGTCCGGTCAACCCAAGCCAACAGGGTTGCCCACTGTCTTATTTTGAAAAATTGACTGAAACGGGTAAATTTCAGGGATATTTGACAAAAATGAGAAATTTTTAAAAAATCTACAAAAGTAGAAAAAATTCATTTAGGAAATGAGTTTTTTTTTTTTTTTTTTTTCTCGAATTTTTGATTTTTTTTTCATCACTTGTGTTTCTCATAGTATACGAGAGATGTAAATGCCATTTGCATGTCTCCTTGACCGGCAAAATAATCGCCGGTCAAGAGAGACGCAAGTGGGATTTGCGTCTCTACGGTTTTTGTGAGGTCCTCTTCGTTTTCATTGATTTCCTCATAGTCATCATCGTCGCCACCGCTTGAATAAATGGCTCTTTTGATTTTCTTCTCAAGACATATAATTCTCCTTCTATGTTTACAGTAATGAGTCCTAACCCGCGATTATTTTACCGGTCAAGGAGACACTTACGTCTCTCGTATACTATGAGAAACGCAAGTGGTTTCACGTTAATGACAAATTTTATTTTTTTGGAAATTCTAGAAACTCGCTTGGGAATTGCGTTTCTAACAAGAAACTTATTTCCCAAACAAGTTTTTCCTACTTTTGTACAACTTTTAAAAGTTTCTCATTTTTGTCAAATATTCTTGAAATTCGACCATTTTTCAATCAATTTCCCATTTATTTTATGTAATGTTTTTGGAGACAACTCTCTCTCTCATCTTTTCGTCTCTCACCTATGTCAAAGTTCGAAGTTGTTTGAGGGTAGATGAAAAAGGGAGTGTATATTGTTGTAATTTGAATTTTTTTTTTTTTTTACGAGTTTCACCCGATTAAAAGAAATCATACAAGGTGGTACACATCTTGCACACCAACCGCCCTCAACATGCACGTTAAGCGCATAACTACCACTTTTTTTTCCCCCCTTTTCTTTTCTTCTACTATTTCCTACCTGACCTGGAAAAACTTTAATAAAAATCACCAAAGTTGGGATGCTAGTCATTTTGATGCAATTAAACCAAATAGCTCCTTACCTAAAGGTTATGATAAAATGCTAATGTGACAATTTTTATTATTATTATTTTTTTAAAAAAAAAAAAGGAAAGAAAAAACAAATGGAGAAGCCGGCAGCAAAATGCTAGAAAAGATAGAGATGCAATTTACTCGTTATGTATCCTAATTGTAAAAATTTAACAAATTATTATTAGTTTAATTGCATTAAATTGATGATTTATATGTTTAATTGTAACTTTTTAAAGTTCATTGACCTAATTACTTTTTTTTTTTTTTTAATATTTTCACTTATTAGTATAACATAAAATAAAAACAAATTATTACAAAAATATTATTGAAATTTACTATTTTCCATTTGCCAAGTGCCAACACTACA